CCTATATGAAACCTCAAACTATCAAGCTGGAGAAAAATAATAATCTCAAGGGGAAAAAAAAAAGTTTAACCCAGGTACATGCTAGAAACAGTGTCCTAGGTGGCCTCTCCAAGTAGTCACACATTCTAAATAACTATATTTCAAGATAACAAGGGTTTAGATTCTGATGCTTCCCAAAATTCACATGGAAACAGGAAAAGAGTATACTAGGACAAAGCTGTGTATTTGCATGTCATGTCATTTTCCCCTCACTATAGGTTTTACTTCCTTTGTTTTCTCTGGCACTCTCAGTGATCACCCGTTTTAGACTGTTGCTATATGCAATTTCTCTCAATAAAAAAGAAGGCGATTCTTAAGCAACTTCTGCCCATAAGAAACTGCTGGGGGAGGGGAGAGTAATTTACCACCAATGGAACATCGTCGAGCGATTTCCCAGAATACTAAGCCCATTGCATAGATGTCAGCACGTTTGAAGGATTCAAAATGTTTCATATTTATGGAATCATCTAGAACTTCAGGGGCCATGTACCTAAAAAAGAAGTCAACATTTTATTTTATTTAATGTTAGCCACATTATTTTTGAACTGTTTCATAAATTTTCTTTTACTCCTAAGAGTTAAAAAAAACAAAAACAAATATTAACTTCAAGGGTATTCCCCCTTTAGCGTGATTCTGTTTTTAAAAATAGTTCATAATTTCTATAAAAAATTTCTCAAAATACATAAAGTACAAAGTAAAAAAACATCCCCTTGCTGCCAATGTTAACATTTTGACGAGCATTTCAGACATCTCTCTATACATACAATATACATAACTGAGATCATATTAGACACAAGAAAAATATTAAATATCCACATTGGCTTGCAACTTAATGATGTCAACTAAATCCCATGAAATGCTGAAACAGCAGTTTCATGTTATTTGCCTTATAATTGGTTCCCAATGGAAGATGCATATATAACAATTATGACTGTTACAAATGTCCTAATGTACACCACCTGCTTTGTCATGTACTATGCAGAGACTATACACACACACTCACTTTTTTTTCTTTAGGCACTAAATAATCTAGAAGTCTTCTCACTAAATCGGGATGAAAGGAAGGTCAGGAACATAGTCCAGAGAACAAAGTAATAGATACAAATGAACGCCAGTCCTCATACTAATGCTACATTACAGGGTTCTAAAGCTTCAAAAACTCTAAGGTTACAGGTCAGGACCCACAAAGACCTGAACCAACCATCATCAAGGATTCCCTTAGCTAGGTCAGAGTTCTGAAAGTCCCCAGTGAATCCAGAAATCATAAATACAATTTATATGGACTAAAGCTGTTGGTTCTCTCCAAGGCCAAGGAAGTAGTTTTAAAGAAATGCTGTGACAACATGATGTGATAAGGGCTTTGGGATCAGAAATGCACAGTTCAAAACTCAGTTCTTCAGCCCACCATCTATATGAAGTTTAGCCACATTACTTAACCTCCACAAGGTGGTCTCCTTATCTGTAAATTAAGGGTAATGACACCTACACCTAATTAGCTTCTTTTGAGGACTCATGGATTCAACAATATTTATTGAGAATACACCATGTATTAGCCACTGTGATGGATGCTGGTAAATCAAGGCTGCTCTCAAGCAGCTTGCAATCCAATGGAATATACAGACAAATAAATGGACAGTTACAACATAATGTGGTAAAAGTGCCTCAATGATCCAAGTTCAGTACGCTATGAGAGGCCTTGGCAGGAACACCTACGAGGCTTAAGGACCAGAAAAGGCTTCCTATGAGAAAGGAAGGGTGAGTATGAGTTAGGGCAGTAGTAAGGAAAAATATGGTTTAGGATACAGCACACGAAAAAGTTCTATTTCAGAAACTGAAAGTATGAAAATAGTTGAAGCTAACTATAGCATAACATTTGAGGAGTGCATTAAATAAAGTGATGTATGTAAAAGACCCATTAAGATGATTGGCATATAGTAGGCACCCTATAAATGTTAGTTACTATTGTTATTATAATTAATACAACTAATAATAACATTTTCTGGAAGGGCCACCTTTCATCAGCCTTGGCTGACGAAGAAGTAACCTTGGCTTCAAAGAAGGCAAGACCATGAGATCTTCTACCTGTGGGCAATCTAATAAAGTACAAATCTGAGTTTCAGAAGATGTGTATATGCAAATGAAGAGGAGGAAAAAAGGTTGATTTTAGAAGATATTAAAATACTATTTATAGGGCCGGCCCGGTGGCGCACTGCTACAGTGCGCCGCTTGGGAGTGTGGCAGCGCTCCCGCCGAGGGTTCAGATCCCACATACAGACCGGTTCCCGCTCACTGGCTGAGCGAGGTGCGGGTGCAACACTGAGGGTTGCGATCCGTTGCCGGACACGAAAAAAGACAAAAAAGGAAAAAAAAATACTATTTACATACAAATGTAAAATACCTTTTTGTTCCCACTCTGTGGTTTGGAGCAATATCAATTGTATCTGTGGCCGAATCATGTCTTACTGCCAGTCCTAAGTCTGCAATACAGCAAGTTCCATTCTTCTTTACCAAGATATTCTTTGATTTCAAATCTCTGTGAGCAATGGCAGGTTTTCCTAAAGAATCAAAAATTGAATGTGATTGCTTAAAAGGTAATACCAATCAGTACTCTCACCTTTAGGTTCAAAAGCCTTTCCTCCTGGTCCCAGTATCAAAGCATTTCAGTCACATCACCTGCAATACCTAGGCCATTACTAAACAAACTCAAGTGAATCACTATATTAAAAGTTACTGAAATAATATTTCTTTAGAAAATGGAGAAAATAAGATGCTCCAAAAGATGATGTTCAAACAACATAAGCCAAACGACTCGAAGATTGGGTCATAAAATGTTATTGGTTTGTCTATTGGCACTTTTTGAATTCTTTATAAGAACCCAAGTCACAGATTGATATTCCAGCCCAGGAACCAAACATATAGATCACTTCCCTTTCCTATCAACTAGAAGGTACTGAGTAGTAAATGTATTAAAATCTTTAACACTAACCACTGGAAAAGTGCTATTAAAAAATAATAATTACAGTGTGAAAAGTTGGAACCCCACACACTGCTGGTAGAAATGTAAAATGGTTCAGGAACTTTGGAAAAATGGTCTGGCAGTTCCTCAAACCATTAAATAGAGTTATGGTATGATGTAGTAATTAAACTCCTATGTATATAGCCAAGACAACTGAAAACATACATCCACGTAAAAACTTGTGGACAAATGATCATTGCAGCTTTATTCACAATAGCCATAAGTGGAAACAACCCAAATTTCCATCAGCTAATGACTGGATACACAAAATGTGGTATATCCACACATGGGATATTACTCAGCCATAAAAAGGAATGAAGTACTGATACATGTCACGACATAAGTAAAAGAAGCCAGTCACAAAAGACCACATATTGTATGATTCCATTTATATGAAATGTCCAGAATAAGCAAATCTATAGAGAAAGATAGCAGATTAGTGGTTGCCTAGGGCTAAGGAGTTTGGGGGATTGGAGGGGACATGATTATTAATAGTTATAGAGTTTCTTTTTCGAGTGATGAAAATGTTCTAAAATTGTGGTTATGGATGTACAAATCTGTTAATATTCTAAAAACCACTGAGTCATACACTTTAGGTGAATTGTATGATATGTGAATAAATAATCAACAAAACTGTTATAATCAGCAATAATAATAGTTAAAAAGTGGTGCTGGCTAATATGTGAACTAGCACATGTGGAATAAAATATGAAGTGGGGAAGCCATTGCATAGCAAATGGATAATCGTTAGAACAGAGGTATATTGGCATCTGATATCCTTCATGGCACAAATACCACAGCATAAAAATTTCATAACTAAAAATTGCATTTAATTTTTCAACTGCAAAACTATCTTATGCAATCTTCTTATCTCACGACCAAATGTAAAGAGTACTACAAAAAGTTTGTGAAGGAACTAAAAGATAATACGAATGTTTCTGTGAACTTTTTGAAGTACCCTTGTATAATTATTAGATAACCAGATATTATTTATATAGCATGCTGATGTTTACAAAGCACTTTCACATTTCATTTGATACTACACATAAAAATACATTCTTAGACTTGAATTCTAAAGCTGAAATCCTCAAAAGTCATAAGCAAGACTGAATGCTACTTTCAAGAACTCACAAAAATATCAGTGTCGTTACGACAAGAGAATCTCTAAACAAATTCCCAGTTTCCTAACTGTATCTGAGATCTTCAACAGAAAGATGAAATGTTCTCATCTAAAAAATTCATTTTAAATATCTCTAGTTAAGCTGACTTCTATTTTCTGAATGAACATTAATTAGATTCATGGGAATTCAAAGCTTAAATAAGAGAACTGCTTAAAGAGCTACCTTGGGTACCAACAATCTCCATGTGAAGATGGGCAAGACCGCTTGCTGTGGAAAGAGCAAGTTTTATCATTCCTTCCACAGTAACTGTATATCTGTTCAAGTAATCAAAAAGGGATCCATGCTCATGATAATCTGACACCAACCAGAGCTGAGTCCATGTGCCATTGTCTGAAAAATAGAATAACAATGTTTCAGTTGGGCCCTAGGCCATTTATGAAAGTTTTCACATTTTGCTCTCAATCCTGAATTACACAACTGCAACATCATGCCACCTAAAATTTGTATGTATTTCCCGCCCATTTCCTTATATATTCAGTTTGTCTTTTACATATGTAAATGGATACATTTTACATATGTATCCTTCAGATTCTCAGAGTAAAGTTCCCTATTCTTGAGATAAGGCAAGGATAATTAATCCCATCTAAGAGACAAGGAATTGTAGTTCAAAGATGATGATTTTCTTGAGTCTACACAGATGTAGTTAGTAGCAGAGCTGGGACTCTTGAGTGCCTAGAAAAATGCTTGGGTCAAGTTAAGTGCTCAGTGGCTGTTTCTGGAAGTAGAGAAGGAAAAAAAGGAGGCCAACAGAGAGGTTGAGAGGGAGATAAGAAGCACTTGGAGCCCAATATGGCCACAGCAGGAATGGAAAAGTATGGACAAAACTGAAAGTGAGCTTCAATGAGAAATGACAGCTTTAGGCAGACTGTATATAGACAAGATGAGTATGATTTTAAGGTTGCTAGCTTAGAAAAACAAAAAAGTAGTACCTATGACACATGGGGACGCTGAGATGGGAATTGAAATGTCAGGAGAAGAAAAAGCTGGAAAAGCAGGGACTGAACCCAGTCTTACACAAGGTGATTTTGAACCTAAACAACCAGGAACTTGGGTTCCAAAAGTTCTATTGTAAGCTGATACATGAATTTGAAATATGTTTTCTAATAAGAATAATGATAAAGATACAGGTTGAGTATCCCTTAACTGAAATGCTTAAAACCAGAAGTCTTTCAGATTTTGGATCCTTTCAGATTTCGGAATATTTGCATTACACTTATCAGTTGAGCATTCTGAAAATCTGAAACCCTCCAATGAGCACTTCCTTTGAGTGTCATTTAGGCACTCACTAAGCATTTCAGATTTTCAGATTTGGGATGCTCAACCTGTACTGGCTAAGTTCCTAGACTAGACTGGTAGACAAAAGACTGTTTAACCTAGAAATAGCTGGAAAACCATATATTTAATTAAATCATGAAGGGAAAAAAAAGCATTACAACATTACATTAGGAGGCAGCACCATTCAGTAAAAGACACACACTTGGAGTCATTGTGACCTGGGTTGGAATCCAGGGCCTGCCTGTTGTTGATTACGTGACCTCAGACGAGTTTTTTAACCAGCAAGGCTCTGCTTCTTCTTTTATACAACAAGAATAATATCTTACTTTGTAAGACTGTTAAGAAGATTGAAAAAACATAATACTGTAGTTTTTTTTAAAAAAAGCAAGTAGTACAGTGCCTGGCACACGAGAACTTAAAATGTGCTGTTTCTTTCCCTACTAGTTGTAAAACAAAAGAAAAAAACCCAAACTGACATAAAACAACTTCTATATTTTGAAGGTTGTTACTTAAGCAACTCTGATTAGAAGAAATTAAGGAAGGAGATGGGAACTTTTCAGAAGATTCTGGAGAGGATTTCTGATTACTTTCAAAATGACAGAGATTTTTGATACTAGCTCCTTATTAACTTGTTTTTCATAAACTTTGTAAACTGATTCTGTCCAAAGTTGTACCTTTTCTTTTCCTTGATATAGGTAAATCACTAGCTTATTTGCATTCCTATTAACCACAACTGAATTTTGAAAGGCTCACAAATACAAGGAATAAAGAGGAACACAGGCAGATGGAAGAGATTTTCTGAGGTAACTGACAAGAGAGGCAGAAAGAAGGTTATGTAAGAGGTCATGCACATAAGGGGCTGTCTGAGGTGGAATTAACTAAATCAGGAGGATGAAGATAAAGGAAAAAAGAATGGGGGTGGAGGGGCTTGGTTCTGAGCAAAGTCCATTAACCCCTGACAAAGAAAAAAGAAGGGAGATAGGGAAGAGCCAGAAAGGTCAGCTAGTTCCCATGGTGACCACCAGATGACAGCATCAGCTAGTTTCTGCTTGAACAAATGGGATGAGAAAGCTCAGTGCACCAGCATTTTGTGTCCTTGTGTCTGCAACTTTGAACATGCTTAACACAGGCCCTGGGTGAGGTTTAAGCTTCAAAATGCAAATTTGAGAGTCCAGCTAGTTTCTGCTTGAACAAATGGGATGAGAAAGCTCAGTGCACCAGCATTTTGTGTCCTTGTGTCTGCAACATTGAACATGCTTAACACAGGCCCTGGGTGAGGTTTAAGCTTCAAAATGCAAATTTGAGAGTCACCACAATGGTAGACCATAGGTTTAAAACTATAAATATTGTAAGTTCTTTCAGGAAGCAATTACTATTTGTAGAATTAGAAACTCCATATGAATCAAAAAGAGTAAGAGTTTGAGAAAACAAAGACAACTATTAAGAAATAAGAATAAACAAAGAAAAGTCTAGGGTCACAGAACATAATAAAGAAAAGATGTTTTAAGAGTTGGGGGAGGAGCAAAATGGTGTCAAAGGCCAAAGAAAATGAGAACTAAGGATTTGGTCAGACTGTGATTATTGCGTTAGGTAATTTGTTCTGTTTTTAAATTAAGTAATAGTGAATTTCTAATAGCCACTGATAACTGCTGCCTACATCCATCATTGCCCTCCCTGTCATAATCAAACCTTACATGCCTCCTGATGTGATGCAACAGGCAGCGTAAACAGAACTAGTATGTACTGGGGGGAAACCAATAAAACCTCAATCAGAATCAGCCTCTAAATCTAACCACCAGTTTTCAGACAATACAGAGGAGCAAGTTAAATGACGCTATGGGAATTCAATTAGCAAAATCCAGAATATGATAAGCCCTACAGGACAACAATCCAGTGTCTTCAACAAACAAACTGCAAGAAGAAAAAAAAAGATGAAGGAGGAACCTAAAGATTTTATAGGACACAAGAGAAATATCAACCAAATGCAGTGTGTGGACTTAGGATCCTAATATGAATAAACAGCAGAATAGGAGACAATTGCAGAAATTTGAACCCAACTGGCTATTTGATGGCATTTTAAAAATTAACAATGGTAGTATGGTTGTTTCATAAAAAAAGATTCCTCATCATTTAAAGATACAAATTGAAAATGTTTATGCATGAAAAGATATGTTATCTGGGATTAGCTTCAAATAATTCAGTTAGGGCAAAGTAGGTGGGATCAGAGATCAATTATGACTGCCAATGAGCTGATAATTGAAGCTGGATGAGGGGGATCATTACAATATTCTCTACTTTTCTATATATTAGAAATTTTCTATAAATAAAAGCTAAAAAAAAGCAATACATGTTTGTTATTAATAAATTTAAAAATACAGAGAAGCAAAAGAAAAAATCATAAAAATCACCTACAATCACCAACTGGGATTAAACAATGTTAGTATTTTGAAGAAATGAATACTGCTGAAGAAAATGGGACAAAAGGGAAGGAAAAAGATGACTGCACGTCTGGTCAAGCTAAAAAAGATAATGATAGCATTTTTTTAAAAAAATAGGAAAGCTGGAAATTAAATTTGATTCAGGGTGGGGAGGATGAGAGTTCTGTTGTAATCCAAGTCTCTGAAAGAGCTGTAAAAGTAGGAATTGTGGGCATAAAGATATTAGTTGAAGCCAAGAAAAGAGACAAAACTTGGTCTGAGCTCATTCTAAAAAATAGGAAAGCTGGAAATTAAATTTGATTCAGGGTGGGGAGGATGAGAGTTCTGTTGTAATCCAAGTCTCTGACAGAGCTGTAAAAGTAGGAAGTGTGGGCATAAAGATATTAGTTGAAGCCAAGAAAAGAGACAAAACTTGGTCTGAGCTCATTCTGAGTCCCCGCTGAGCTCATCCACAGTCCCCACTCATCCTGCCTCTGCACTGACCCGGCTTCCCTGCTTCTGCAGCATCCGATCTGACTCTGGGCCTCAGGCACCTGCACTACAGGCAAGAAAGTGTCCACATAGTTACCAATGGCGAGGTGGTTGTGGAGAAACCATTTCTCTATTTAACTGAGTTTACTTAAAAGGTTAATCTATTTAGCCCCTGGCAACTCAGAACGTAGAGTACACTAAGAAATTATTTTTATTCCCCCCATAAAGAAAGTCATTAGTCTATATATTGAAATGCCCTACTGGTCAGGAAAAGATTAAAGGAAACAGATAACTAAGTGGTAACCTCAAAATTTTGAGCAACCAGAGTTTATAAATTTTTTCCTTTATTATAACTATACTCAATAATTAACGGCCCAAGTACTAAAATAACAAATGTACATGGCTTTTTTTTAATAACTCTATTACATTTTATAAAACAATCAGATATTTAGAAACCTGTTGTCAAGAGTCAAGAAAATCTTTAAGAAGTCCCTGTTTCTAAAAGTTTCTAATATTGTATTTGACAGTGTAGTGGATCTAATCTATATGAAAACAAAAAACCTCTATTTCTCATCAAATTTGACAATGTTTATAGTAGCCATTATCTGTAAAAAAGCTTAAATGTATTTTGTGATACTCAACGTAAGGAAAAGCAAATGTTACTGACCTTTATTGTCTGCTGCTATAAATCCCAAGATGTTTTCATGTCGTAACATTACGGTTTGATAAATTTCTGCCTCACGGAACCATGAACGTTCTTCTCTAGAGGAGAATATCTTAACAGCAACTTCTTCTCCCCTCCACTTTCCTCGCCAAACTTCTCCAAACCGACCTTTGCCAATGCTTTCTTGTAACACAATAGTTCTTGCAATTGTTCTTTGAACAAGCAACGGTAAACCTAAAGATAAAAATAAATAGTATTCAACACACTCAACATTATGTGTTTCAAATACCATGACAGGCACTAAAGAGTAACCCAGAAAAGTATTACTCTGTAAGCTCTACCTTTAAGGAATTTACAATCTCACTGGGGAGATACAGACTACATTCGCAAAAAATAATAATAATAATTAATGAATAAATAAAAATAAGACAATAAATACAATAAAAGAATTAAGAAACTCCTGCCTAGAGGGTCAAGGTAGGCTTTGTACATTAAGTTGAATTTTGACTGTGCTTTATAGAAGGGATAGGACAAAAGGCTAAGAGAAAAGGAAATAAGATGGTTAGGTAGAAAGAACATGCAAAGCAAAGGCAGAAGGAGGAAATGCATGATACATTTTTAGGGAACCAGCTTGGATAATCAGAGAGGATATACAAGAGCACTTCAGAAAGTTCTTGGAAATATTTGTGTCATCTTTTAATTCTGTTAGTTTCCACCAACTTTTTGAAGTACCCTTGTATGTGGCAAGGCAGTGAAATAGAAGGTAAGCTGTCACCAGAAAATGAACAGTACTGAATGCCAGGCTTGCCAGGCTCAAGATGAAGATGATCAATGAGAGCTATAGGTAAAAGAGGAACCACTACTGGGGTGGGGTGGGGGGAGAAAAAGCCATGAATGGTGGCAGGGGAGGGTAATTTTAAAATACTAGAATCTGGTAAGAGTCTTACTAACAGGAGGAGAAAAAGATAACACAAGAAACACAGAAGTAAATTCTGGCATAATTTTTAATAAATCAGTAATTATCACAGAAACCATTTCAAGGCATGCAACTTACTTGCTGGCAACTGGCTATCTAAGCAACACTATTATCTTAAAGAACAATGCCAAGGAATTTACCTTAATAATGGGGCATTTATGTTTTTCACTAATTGAACTCATCTTACTCTAAAATAAATATTTTTAAATATTGTCTTATTTCATTTAAAAGGATGTACTAACTACCTACATTTAAGTCACACTATATTTGGAATAATCACTTATTATATCCCCCATCCACTAAGGAATTATTTTAAATTTTATAAAATACCAGTGTATATCATATTCTACATTAGTATTTTATTTACACAATTTATGTACACATAAATGTGTTATTTATCATCTATATTCAAAGCTGCTTGCTAGATCTAATTAACCCAATGATGGTAAAGAAATTATCTGCTCTCTTTGGTTCCCTAATGTAAAATGCTTATAAATCCAAATGTTAAGTCTTTAAAACAACTGGAAGCTCTTCTCATCTTTAAGTTTCTCAAATGGGTCCTTTCTTACCCTTGCTCTACCCTCCCTACCTCCTGCAAATAGTTAGCAGTCTAATTATAAACTATTGTTTTTATGTTTATAAGGAGACTACTAGATAAAAATAGGTCTGTGAAAAACCCTTGTTTAAATCAAGGAGCTCTTTTGTACTAAGAATAATCAATTCCTAACTATGTTGTTTAGTATAGATACTAAGTTATTAAATTTTCTTAAAGCCTTATATAGTGCCACACCATGTACATAAAGTATACTTTAGAGTTAATTTCTAGAGATTAATCTGGAAGGCAAGCAAGAAAGAAGAAAAAGGAATCACAAATAGGAAGTCTGAAAATGACTGACAGGTTCAGGACTCACGTAAAAGGGATGGTCAAGAAAGGCTAACAGGACAAAGGAAGTTTTTGTCTTCTTCTTCACCACTGAATTTTAGATGCAGAACTAACATTAAAAACCAAATCTAAATTCATCATATCATCTATAATGAGGTTACCATAACCCACATGAATACTTGGGTAGTTTTGAAAAGTAACAATTTTCTTCTAAAGACAAAAATAAACAGGCCTAATTCAGATCTCTATATTTACTGCTTTAAGAAAGGAGAGAAAAAACTGCTTTCTTAAAGCTTTACTTTTTTATTACATGAGAAAAAACTTCAATAGGGAAATAGGATCCCAGCAGCTTCACATGCAGTGAACAATGAATATCTGACTTGAACAACATGCATATTACAAGAGATCATAAGCATGTAAAAGACATGAACAATGGCCTAAGAGACTCACCCTTCCAAAAACTGGCACATATGCACATGCGTACACTCACACACACTTTACAATCTAATTACCATGTGGCTTAAATATGAACACATGTACAACCTGTGATTCAAATTAATACAACAAAAATCAGATTATCTTCAAGGTTAGAGCTTCCAGAACCCAGCTCTTCTTTGTCTTCCCTGAAGTTTCCAAGTTAAAAGTACAGTCTTTGAGAGGTAGAGATAGGGCCTTTCCTCAATTACGGTCATGGAACTGAATAATAAACATGGGAATTTAAAACATAAAATGCTCAGTTTTAACTTTTCCCCAATGAGTGAAAGCAATAAAAAGGGTATTATGGATAGACATTTAACTTATTCACAGGCCTGAGCCCATTGCATAAGGTGGCATTAAGGCTTTATAATTAATAGAAGGGAAACAGATGGCATTTTCTGCTATCATTCAACAGAAGATGCCTGGATAAGTTCAGAAGGAATTCAGCACACAATGAACTATGACAGGGAAAAGAAGCCTTAAATTAAGCTTTATTGTATAATGCAGCAAATTAATACTGTTTGTCAGACTTTTCTTCCAAATGTTTTCTCTATAAGAGTAACCCCTGTCATTTGGACATAACTTTACAACTTACCAAGTGCTTTCATACAAACACCTTGTCTCTTTTGAACTTCACAACAATCCAGCGACATGCACACAGCAGGGTTCACCACTTTCATTTTAAAATGAAATAACTCAAGCATGAGATATAGCTAACTGCCGCAGAGGTAGCAAACAAACAATGTAGACAAATTTTTGCATGGTAAGGCATTAAAAGGATGAAGAGAAACTTTCAGAAAACAGAGAGCTATGGTCCCTGATGGATCTAGAAATATATATAAAATGGAAAAAGAATAATTCCATTCCTTATTTCATGTCTACATCTTAAAAGGTAAACAAATATATTCTTATTCAGAAATCAACTGCCATCCACACAGCAATTCCTTTTAATCTTTTAGGTGGGCTTGTTCCTCTTGAGGTCTAATACATGCCACTGTGCCAAGCAGCACGAGCTGCTTTTATTTCCCCAGGTATAAACGTGGCAAGAAGAGAATAGTCCAAGGGATTAATTCCAAATGATCTGTTGCCACCTTGTTTTTCTGTGACTTTGGTCCTTGCTTATCACTGTTTTGTACCAGGATAATTTCTAGAATGAGTAAAATCTTCTTTGGAAACCATTTGAACTAACTCAAAATCAACGCAAAACCCCAGGAAAACCCTAAAATAACCTCTTCCACCACTCCTGCCCAAAGACTGTCACATCTTCAGTACTCAGGGTGCTCCTCAGTCAAACCTCTCATTGCTTCCCTCCCACCACAGTCTCAGGAGTCCCTAAGGTTGCCTTAAGAGACCTGGGCTCTGGGGCAAGCCTTATGTGTCCCAGTAGCCATGGACAGAGCTCACTTATTGAATATATATGGCCAAATTCTATAGAAAAAGACTTCTGTTCATGAAATCAGTTTCCTCATACTTAAATGAATGAACAAATATTCATACATACCAGTATATATTCATTTCCTTAAAATAAAGAGACATTTGTCATTACATGAACTTTCTGTATCATTAGATGTGATTTTACTACTTCTGCTTTAATGTTCCTTTAATATCACTTGATTATAAAATTAGTAAAATTATCATTATATATGTTTTCAAATCTTCACTTTATCCAGGAATTTTCCCCTTAAAGCTGACTTATATTTTTCAAAGAACAGCATTATCTCATTTAAAAGTCCTAACAAACCACATTAAGTATTTTCAATAATATCTGTCCCATATTTCTGATAAGGAAACAAAAGCATAAAGAGGTAAAATGGTTTTTAACCAAGGTCACAGAGCTAATCAATGACAAAGCTTACACTGGAATCTAGATCTATTGATTACTAGCCAAGTATCAAATTCCAAAATTGTAAGGGATAGGGGTGTTCCTCTCTCAGTATCCTTTCAAACCACCTGCAAGAAAAAGTAAAACATAATTCCCCTTCAGTATAAACATGAAGCATTGCTATGCCAAAATCCAGCTTGGGATGATTCTGACAATTAGCCAGTCTATTTCTGTCCCACAGAAATCAACAAGCAGAATTGAGAAAAGGGGCCATAATTCCACACAGATGTATTAAACAACAAGTTGGTTAGAATTTTTTTCTGAAGTGAGAAAATAAGAATTTATTAGTTTAATAACAAACCAGGTCTGAGCTAAAGACAGCAATTTCATATAATGTTAAGAAAGCAAATAACCTTCACAAGTCCAAATACATTTCTGACATGCCTGCTTTAAAATATAAAAATAAAGCTGCTAAACAATTCTGAATAGAATGGGCACCTGCAGTTCATCTGTACATCTTTGAACTTCAGCCTCATCTATATGAGAATTGTCCTTAACCTTTCTACCTCAGTCAGGAGAAGCAAATGAGATCACATAGGTGAGAATGCGTTGAAATTTATAAACTGTGGAGCTACCCTGCTGACTTATTGCAACAGTAAGTTCCAATCTGTCTGTACTAAACTAACAACAGTCAGATATAGACCAAGCTTAAAGACCTTTATTAGGTTCAGACCTGGAATACTGTTCATACTATCACAAGTTTTAACAAACTAAGCCAACTAATAAAATAAACACCAAAGTTAATTTTTAAAAGACTTCTTAGGAAAAAGGAGAAACAATTACATTACCTGATCCAGAACCCGATGTTGTCATATCATAAATTAAATCTTTTAATGTAGTACCCTCTGAAATAAAAGGGCGATCTAACGAAGGATCCTCTTCATTTGGCACTCGATGGTGAATGACAGTGCGATTATGGCAGATATAGACCATCAGCATGAGTGAGATGCAGACGAAGCAGACTGGTCCAGCAATGACAGCTGCCAGTTCAACGGGACCAAGGCCAGGTGATGGCTTTACTGAAAAAGGGCCTCAAGTGAAATAAACAACAAACACTGTAGGTGACACCCACATTATCCTAGTCTTCCACAATTCCTGCAGTTGGCCATTGCCACTACTTATTCAAAGAGCCTCACACAGAAGCTCACAGGGCTCTAACTCAGAACAAATGGATCGGTCAGTCTTCTCCCAGAACTCTCCTTTTATGGTCATCAGCTCTGTCAGCACCCACTTACTCTTCTTGTGTACTCCAGCCATCATCTAATCACAAGGCCAGCCACCACCAATATCCTAGCACCTCCCCACTTATTACCTTAAGTCACTAATAAAGGAACCAGTAATCTGGAAAGTACTTTAGGCTTCTTATTCCAAGGCCAGTACATACTCATAGCAGGAAGAAAAATGTATAAATACAGGTAGGCAAAAAGTGAAAACTAAACATAAAAAATAACTATAGCCTTGCCCCTCCAAAACAACTGACATTTTAGCATATATATCTCCACAGATTTTTTTCAGGCAAAATATATTCTTTTTTTTTTCTTAATAGAGTTTACATATTTACTTTCTAGTCTGTTTTAACCACCTGGACTTTTAATTCCAGAACATTTATTTTCTTATAATCTCTTTTAATAATTAATACTTTGAGTTGTTTCAGAACCATATTTTTATTTATTTATTTATTTATTTATTTATTTATTTATTTTTGGGAGCGCCACAGTGCTCCCAGCGCCGCACTCTCCTGAGTGAGCCACGGGGTCGGCCTTCAGAATCATATTAATTACAATTATTTTGACATTCATCTTGAGCCTTATGGGTTCACTGCTCACCACCATTTTTTTCATATCACATCTTTCCCATTCTTGAGATGTTCATTTGGACTGATTTCTTTTTTTTTTTTTTTGTCTTTTTTCGTGTCCGGCAACGGATTGCAACCCTCAGTGTTGCGCCCGTACCGGACCAGGACCGGCAACGGAATCGCAAACCTCCGTGTCGCATCCGCACCTCGCTCAGCCAGTGAGCGGGAACCGGTCTGTATGTGGGATCCGAACCCTCGGCGGGAGCGCCACCACGCTCCCAAGCAGCGCACTGTAGCAGTGCGCCACCGGGCCGGCCCCTGGACTGATTTCTTATCATATAGAACCCTATTTCTAATAATTTCATCAGGAATAAATACATAGGTCCTTGTTCACTAAATACTTAATTACTAAAGATGGCTGTTGCCTTTGTATGTGAAAAATCTTGGCTTATTTCAAGGATTTTGGGTGACAATCAATAAGTAATGTTCCAATGCTCTCTGATAATTAAAAAAGTAGAAAATCTGAACATTTATTTTCCTTTTATAGGCAATAAATGCTTTACGTGTCCTCAATGCTTATATGATTTTTTTTGTTCTTGAATCTGACATTTTTCTAATTACATGTCTTTGGGTATTTTTTTCATTAATTTTACCAGATAGTCTTCTCTCTTCTGTCTGCTCTCATGCCTTTTTCTAGAATTCTAATAAGTTTATTGGATCATCTGGATCTGTCTTTTGTATCTCCTAATTTGCTCAACAATTATCATTTTCTCTGAATTATAACACAATTTCTTAAGCTTGTGCCTTAAGCTTGTATAAAGCTTGACTATAAAATTACAGTATCCAGTCTGCTGTTCACTCTCAATACTGCATTTTTAAAAACATTCATCAATTGGAGCTTTTCATCTGAATCTTTAACAACTGTGTGAAAGATTCTCACTTCATAATGAACAACTGAAAATAGACCTTAGACTGAAAGTTCTACACTATCACATGGTAAACCTACTGCATAGGATGACATCTACTCTAATTTATCTAGTTCAGTCTACTTCTTTTGAAGCACTTAATCTTTTTACTTGGTAATTTTTTGCTGTTTGCTTATCCTGGAGTTGAAAATGAGGAGTTTATGCATGTTTACTATTAGAAATGAGGTGACTTATTTACGGTTTTATAAATCTCTATTCAGATATTTTAAGCTCAAACAATGGATATGGGATATTTGGGGGTTATCATTTTCTTTGCCATATTAGAACAGCAGATGCCTACATAAAAGTCACAAAGAAATTACAGTCTGACAAAGCCTTACCAAAGGGAGCTTCCCCGTCATGCTAAGACTAGGTGGAAGGCTGCCTCCTGTCTGTAACTGGTAGGTCTGGCCTTTTTCCTATGAGCTACACTAGTGCTTCCTACTTTAATGAGCATGAGGCCTGGACAAAATCTGAGTGGAAAGTGAGCACAGTGGTCTGTTCCATCAGGAATAAATACATAGGTCCTTGTTCACTAAATACTTAATTACTAAAGATGGCTGTTGCCTTTGTATGTGAAAAATCTTGGCTTATTTCAAGGATTTTGGGTGACAATCAATAAGTAATGTTCCAATGCTCTCTGATAATTAAAAAAGTAGAAAATCTGAACACTTATTTTCCTTTTATAGGCAATAAATGCTTTACGTGTCCTCAATGCTTATATGATTTTTTTTGTTCTTGAATCTGACATTTTTCTAATTACATGTCTTTGGGTATTTTTTTCATTAATTTTACCAGATAGTCTTCTCTCTTCTGTCTGCTCTCATGCCTTTTTCTAGAATTCTAATAAGTTTATTGGATCATCTGGATCTGTCTTTTGTATCTCCTAATTTGCTCAACAATTATCATTTTCTCTGAATTATAACACAATTTCTTAAGCTTGTGCCTTAAGCTTGTATAAAGCTTGACTATAAAATTACAGTATCCAGTCTGCTGTTCACTCTCAATACTGCATTTTTAAAAACATTCATCAATTGGAGCTTTTCATCTGAATCTTTAACAACTGTGTGAAAGATTCTCACTTCATAATGAACAACTGAAAATAGACCTTAGACTGAAAGTTCTACACTATCACATGGTAAACCTACTGCATAGGATGACATCTACTCTAATTTATCTAGTTCAGTCTACTTCTTTTGAAGCACTTAATCTTTTTACTTGGTAATTTTTTGCTGTTTGCTTATCCTGGAGTTGAAAATGAGGAGTTTATACATGTTTACTATTAGAAATGAGGTGACTTATTTAAGGTTTTATAAATCTCTATTCAGATATTTTAAGCTCAAACAATGGATATGGGATATTTGGGGGTTATCATTTTCTTTGCCATATTAGAACAGCAGATGCCTACATAAAAGTCACAAAGAAATTACAGTCTGACAAAGCCTTACCAAAGGGAGCTTCCCCGTCATGCTAAGACTAGGTGGAAGGCTGCCTCCTGTCTGTAACTGGTAGGTCTGGCCTTTTTCCTATGAGCTACACTAGTGCTTCCTACTTTAATGAGCATGAGGCCTGGACAAAATCTGAGTGGAAAGTGAGCACAGTGGTCTGTTCCTCTGAGCACTAAACCATGTACTTCCTAAAAGAAAACTGAGAGTCTGCCTTATAGCCTAACCTCATCCCCAGCCCTCTTTCTTAAGGTATTGGTGGGATTTTGCCAGAGGTCCTTTCACTTCTTTCTTGTATGGTTACTCATTTCTTCACTAGTCTAGTGTCATCTATACTACAAATTGGAGAAATTCCTCACAAGTGTTGGCATGTAAGTAGCATTCTTCCATTAATTCTACTAGTATTAATATTGGTTTCTCTCATTTTTATATTCCTTTGATTATTACAGTAGTAATTTGGAATATGGGGAAAGTGGTAAAAGAGTTAAATACTCGTACGTGTGCTCAGACTTCCATTTTAAACCATAACCTTAAAATTGATCCTAAGAGTTTATGAAGCCTAATTGCTGGCTCTGTCAGGACATTTTAAAATGTCAACTATGGGTGAAGGACCAAAAATCTCAAAATCATGTGTAATTAATTCATACGTAAAGATCACTCTCTGTTCCCCCTGGTGCAAACCCTGAGAAAGACGTATATCTTCTAGCTAGTATTGGGGTTCTTTCTCAGTGAAGCCAAGCAGACTATACCAGTAACAATACATATATGACTCAACCACATGGGCAACTTCTCTGTTCCCCCTGGTGCAAACCCTGAGAAAGACGTATATCTTCTAGCTAGTATTGGGGTTCTTTATCAGTGAAGCCAAGCAGACTATACCAGTAACAATACATATATGACTCAACCACATGGGCAACCTAGCTACAGAAAAGACTGTAGAAACAAACACTAGCTCCATGTCCACTTGTATCTTCTTGATCTATATGACTCAACTTCAGGAGTGACCTCTTTAGGGAAATCTAATTATCACCAACAACTTTCCATACACACACCTTCAACCATGCTCTCCAATGATGTTAAGTGCTCCCCAAATCACACACTGCTTACCAGATTTTGTTTCCACTCCCCTACAGAACTGTAACCTCCTTGAGGCCAGAGATCTGTTTTAATCATTTCTGTAAATCTGCCACCTAACCTATGCCTGATACATAGAAGCACTGAAAAAATTCTTGTTGAATGAATGACATAATGGGCACTTACATTTCACTGTGGTCTCATGAAGTCACAAAGCACAGACATCCCCTAAAGTCCAATCAAACTTTCCAATTACTTGTTGGCAAGGGAAAAGGAAAAGTCCAGGTGTATGGAATGGCCACCTATGATGAGACCAGGGAGGTCTACTGTATCTAGAAAAGGAGTGGCTAGGCAGACAGGCATGCCACAAGAAAGCTAACTCGCTGTATAGGAAAGGGTTAACTCAGCAGGCCTGAGTTGCTCAAACCCCGCACATTCCCAAGAAAGTTCTGTCTTGAGGACTAGCCTTGGCTGGAAGATGAGCTCTGAGCCTCTGGAATATTTTCCCTGATAAGAATGTTTCTGTATGCCTGAGGCCTTGGGCCACAAGGTACCATTTTGATCAGATAGTTTATGTTAACAGTGTGATATATAGTGAACACCTATATTTGCTGTGGGGGGGTGGAGTCTGAGGAGCTGAGGTCAGTCATGCAGGTGCTGCAAGCCTTTGTGACTGACCTCCAATAAAAACCCTGGACACCAAAGTTCAAGGTGAGCTTCCTTAGTTGGCAACACTTCTCACATGTTGTCACACATCTTTGTTGAGAAAATTAAGACCATCTGTGCTGCTCCACTCGGAGAGGGCAACTAGAAACTTGCACCTGG